ATTTTATCAAAACATAAAGTAATTAAAGATTACTTAAGAAAATCATTAAACTCAAAAACTAAAGAATAAGAGAGTATTGTATACATTTATTAAAATTTTCAACTGTATAGTTTGAATTTGACCTTTATCTAAATAAATACTTTATCTAATAAAGTAAGCAGTTTAGAAAGTTAGGCTCCAAAATAAATACAAAGTGAAATGAATAGTTTTTATATCTGTTCTCCTATACTACTCTGCTCAAGCACTTTCATTTTGGCACCAATTTCATTCTACTTGTGACATACATTTACATGACTGCCACCCAATCTCTATTTTAAGTTTCTCAAGTACAGATGTAGGTTCTTAATTTCTTCATTTCTTCAAATATTCCTGAGTCAGTAAAGAGCAGATCAGCCACTTGTGATTTAGTAATAAGCATAATAAATGATCATCATTTATTGAAGTTTAGCAGGGAAGTTTTAGAAAATTCCAAATAGAGTAAGTAAATAATAGTCTAAAAGTATAATTAAAAACCTATCACAGGATATTCCAATTCCTATAAGGAAAATAAATAAAATAGAAGTAAATGTTGTAAATCACAATAAAAATACTAAATTCCTTAAGAACAAGCTGACTTATTGATTCATTTTACCTTAATATCTGTGTAAGCTGGGAAATTGTAGTCCACCCACCCTGGATTCGAGAACAATCCTGACCGAGGACCAGTAGGCAATATTGAATGAGGTCATAACAGTATATATCTTGTTTGATTTTCTTCAATTCTGAGCTTCCTAAAGGTGTGTTGTTTATTATTTCTAAGGAAAAAGAAAATAAGATATACTTATTTTTGCTCAGTACATCCAAAGGCTACTTATATTTTTATATGTTGAACAATACTAAAAATATAAAGGAAAAAAATCATTGCCATATCATAGTGTTAAGGTTTCTCTTCACAATTCAAAACTGAACCAATGATAGAATTGATTTTATTTAAAAATCACAAAGTCTTTTTCTTACCTTTTAACTTCAACAATATAACAGGGACATTCTGTTCAGGACTTTTTGCAACCTCAGCAGCTAGAGATAAGATCCTTGGGTCTGTACCTGTTGGCTTCATTTCACATATCACCTGTATTTTAACAGAATCAGAAAATAAAGGTCAAAAAGCCATAAAATTCATTCCCTAAATAATATATGAAATTTAAGATCAATATGAATAAAAAGTTTTTCTTGCCTTGTTTTAGAAATGCAGGGTTTTTTTCATTTCTTCCTTTATAGGAAATTAGTTTTTCTAATTAATGTACGTCTAAAAGAGTTCTACATCCCTATACCTTACATGTAACATTTATAATAGGTATTGGTATTGCATTCTCACTGTGCTAGGAGCTTTACATTCACTCTCTCTGATATGTACAATTCTGGAGTAGAATTTACACATGAAAAACTGAGTGTTGCGGTAAAAATTCATATTGCAGACTTAATAAGGCTACTGTTTTAAAGGTCTGCTTACAAGGTCATTCCTTGGCTGGCATCTTGAATGTGGATATTAGAAGGGTTACTACTATTGTGTGAAAAGAGTAGTTCACTGTTCCTAAAAACAATGTTGTTTATGCTGAACACCTGATTTCCTTGGAGTCCTGGAATTCTGATATATGCTAGCAGAAAGGTATCTACAAGACTTCATTTTCCAATACTTAATAAAAAAAAAGAGGTTTATTTAGCTCACAATTCTGGAAGTCCCAGGGAATGCTACGTATTGGCTTGGCTATGGTGATTTCCTCTATCCCATCACTGTGGCTGTGTCACACGACAGATGTTTAACATGACATGAGTTAAACATCACACTAAGATTCAGAAATGTGTAATTATAAGAAAACCAAAAATTATTTCTAGAGTATAGTGAATAAAATCAATTCTCCTAAAAATTTTAGAAGTTCACATCTCAAATTGTTACTAAAATTTGTTTATATAAAACTTTTTAAGTATTTGAAGTTCAACATAAGTCATCATTTAATAAAAAGTATCTCTTTTTTTTCATGTATTGGGGATTAAACCCAGGGGCACTTTAACACCTTTTATTTTTTTATATTGAGATGGGTATAATTAAATTGCTTAGGACCTTGTTAAATTGCTGAGGTTGGCCTTGAAATTGCAATCCTCCTGCCTCAGCTTCACATCTCTGTATTGCTAAGATACAGGCATGCAGCACCATACCTAGCTTTCCCTTACTTTTAATAAAAATTAACATATTTAAGTATTTACTATGAGATAAGCACTCTGTTAAGTACTTTTAAATGAATTATCTTATTTAATTTTCACAATGGGACTCTGAGATAGACCTTGTAATCATTTCCATTTTACAAATAAGAAAGTAAAACTTGAAAGTTGAGAAACTTATCATGGTTTCATCAATATATGGTGGCATCAGACATATCAGATTAGTCTGATTGCAAAACCTATGGTTTTAATTACAATGTTCATTGTATTCCCTCCCTTGTAAAAGAGTAAAAATCACAAAATATATTCTTGAATAACCTACTTCTAGCTCACTTTTTTAGCTAGTATTCAGAACTGGCACTACAGTCTATCCTTTATTTAAAAAAGTTGACCATAATATAGGCATCAAAATCATCCCTTGTTAGGAAAAATATAAATCATTAAAATATTTTACTTAATTTCATATCCAAATGGTATACTCTTTTAATTTGCATTTCTTTGAATATTAGGGAGGTCAAGCATATTTTATTTCACTGGTCATTTTTTTCTTTTATACATTTTCTATTCATATCCCTTAACCATTTTTTATTGGCTTGTCTTATTCTTCAATAGAAGCTTTTCATATATGGATATGCGCCTTTTGCAAATATTTTTTAAAGAATATTTCAAAATTGCTAAGAGTTCTAGGAAAAAGAAAGCCTGGAGCAACTCCTAGCACATAGTAGGTGCAAAACTTTCTAAGGGAGTATATACAATTATCTCATTCTTTCCAATGGCTGCATTATGCTATCTTTCCTTTATAAGAGTGCATCAAAAAACATTTAAGTGCGCTAACTGGATGTCATTTAGGCTGTATATTATTAGAAGCAACAAAGCAATGGATATCAATGTGTGAGTCTTTATGAAATCATGCTAGTATTCCCATAGGACAAATTCCCTATGATGGTGATGACTGAATCGTAGGAATACATATTTTAATATTATCTTTTACACTCTTGCCAATCTGTTAGATTTCTATTTAAAAAGTATAGTCTTGTTTGAAACTGCATTTCTATGAGTTTTAGAGGGACTCTGCCATATTTCATGTTCACTAGTCAGTTTTTTCTTTTATATATTTTCTATTCATAGTTTTTATGATGTCACATATGGGGCAGACTCCTTGCTAATATTCTGGTTGGGAAAGAAAAGTGTTATGTGTACATACATAAAAATATACGTAAAACTTCTTAAGCATACAAAATATGTGAAATGCTAAATAGATGACATAGATAAGAATTCAGACAATAATTAAAGAAGTAAGCTTCTCTTAACCAGTTTTCTTATCTGAAAGTAAAATTAACAGCAATTCCTACCTCCTAGAATAATCCAAAATTTAAAAAAGAAGGCAACGAAAAATGATAGTCTTAAAATATGACAGTACAACTGAGCTTAATAATAATCATTTGAAGAGCTTACTATGTGCTATGAAGTGTTCAATTGCTTTCATTTAATCATGTCAAGGGTCACAAAAAACAGGTATTCTTTTCCCCTAATTTTAATGATAAGCATACTTATAATTTTTTTTTCTTTTGCAATGCTGCCACTGGTACCCAGCGCCTTGCACGTGCTTGGCAAGCAATGTGTCACTGAGCCATATCCCTTACCCTTAAGCATATTTTGGGACAGTTTGGTTTGCACAAAGTCACACTTTTAAGTATGAGGCTGGAATTCAAACCCAGAGATCCTGGCTCTAAAACCTGAGCACTTACCTACCATATGAAACAGTCCTAGTTCACAGACCGAGGGAGATACATTCACTTACCCATATAGAACAATAAATTGACAAATATGCCTAAGAAAGAAGTAAGGGAGTATAGTTGGATTACACAACTGTCCTGAAAATCAACCACTTGTTACAGCAATCATTTGTAAACATTTGTGTACGTTTTTCTCATCTTTACAATAAATTCATGAACACTGACGGAGAAAAAGAATGCCGATTATTGATCAATTATTAATACTGTTACCCAGTTACCAGAACACCAGCTCGAGCTTCAGTCTTGATCCTTTGGGAATCACCTCTCCCTAGTCGTGCTCTTTTACTGCCTCCATGAACCACTGTGATGGAAATAAATGAAAGAAATCCACTGCAATCCAGTTACAACTGATCCTAAACGCCTGCGGTTTCTAACTTCGAATCCTCGTTTTCCTTCCTACACGTCCTTCCTCCAGTCTTAATACCACCGGGAACGTCCTCGGTAATTAAAAGGTCAAAAAGATTGCCGAGGTAACGGAGTCGCTTCCAGTCACGCACAAGCACCAAGGCTCCTTTCCCCGAGATTCTAGACTCAGCTTTGGCGCTACCAGTCCTTTGGCCAGTCGCCAGGCCTAGTACCCAGACACCGCCCTCCTCAGGCCTCAGTTTCCACACCAAGATCTCCACAGAAGGCGTGGTTGGCCGATTCCCCCGTTAAGAGGCCCTACATGCAGGCTCACTGGGTCCAAAGGCCCGGCATCCGGACATCCTGGTATCCCAGGGCCCTCTCGGTCCCCAGCCACCACCTCAGGTCAGTTACCTCATCCCGGTTTCGGGTTCCTGCACCAAGGGATCCTAGTTCCCCCACGTACCACACTGAGGTGGCCCTTGCCAAGCGGCGTGCGTCGCTACGCGGGAAGGGATCTGGGAGGGGGAAGAGAAGCGCCAAGGGGCGGGGCGTCCGTCACTAGGCAGCCAATCAGAGCTCCAGGGGCGGCCGGAGAGACGTGCACGTAAGGGCGCGGGGCGGAGTCTGGGGTGGTGGCGCTGGGGGCTGGCTGCTAGTGTTGCTGCTTTGGGCTGAGGTGGCAGATGGTTGTGGAGGCGAAGTCGGAGCCAGTGGGAAAGGATGAATGGACCAGCGGGACTCTCGCGCATTGACCGTCACGAGCGAGTTCTCAAGTTAGGCGAGAGTTTCGAGAAGCACCCACGCTGCGCCTTCCACACTATACGCTGTGAGTGGGGACTGCCCGGGGGATAGAAGGGGCGCCTCCTTCTTGGCTGGGCTTGTGAAGGCGCAAACCCCTGAGTTCTGTTCCCATAACCTCCCCGCCTCTGCACTCCTCTGGAGGTGGGAGTGGAGCGGGTACAGCGTAATCCACTACCCTGTTAGAAGCCCTAGGTGTGAGTAAACCTTGGGCGCATTTAAGTGTGACCAGCCGACTGGAAGGGACACTTTGTGGAGATCTGCAGGGGTGACTGTGGAGGCTAACTGACAAGAGTATGATGCAGAAATGGAAAGGAAAATAATATGACAAACAGTACAAAGGACCCAAGGCAGGGCCAAGGGAATGCCTTGAAGCTGAGGGGGACAGACTTTCTTCCTTTTCCTCACCTCTGTCTGATGAGGGTTTTTATTTACTGGGTTTTTTTTTTTTTTTTTTTTTTTTTGGTGGGGAAAAGTTCTTAACCATTTCAATCTCTCTCTTTCCGAACCAGATTTCATTGTTATCAAATACTGATTATCGAAGTATTTGAAGGTGTGTTATTAATTTCTTCATTGGGAAGATTTTTATCTTTCTATGATTTCTACCCTTTGGTTTTTACCCACTTGTTTTAATAGTTGGATGACATGACAGGAAGGAAAAGTACAGCGTATGATTTTGTCTTTAAAACATTCATTTTTTGCATAATAGCCCTCATAGAATTCTAGAGCAGGAAGGAAACGTTGAGATCATTGAATCATGACCTCTTATTTTTCTATGGCAAAATAGTAAAGCAGATTTTTTTTTCACTTCCTTTCTCCAGCTCAGCCCTTCTTTACTGTTTCATCGTTCCACCTTTTTCAGTCATTCTGTCAGATTGGCTGTAAAGAAACTTTATGGATTTTATTCTGAACGTTCAATGGTTCAATTTAAACACCTAATTAAAATTCAGTCTCCAAAAGTTTACTTAGATTGTAGACAATCTAGTTATACTAGTTCATAGTAAATGTAAGAAGAATCAATGGTTTTAACCCTTCAAAAATATGCTTACATTTTATTAAAGGGGTTTCTTAAGCAATATTAACATCCATTTTATAGAACAATTGGGGAGATATATGACAAGAGAAGATCTTCAGAGCTGTTTTTGTTTATTCTTTATTGGATGGCCATATTCTGTCATCTAAATCTCCCCGTAGTGAGACAGTGCTGTACTGGCTCTGTGGTTTCTCTTTCTCTTCAGTTTCATTTCCCAAAGCAAGATATGGTTCTTATCTGTTTTCTACAGTCCTTTTTCTCATAGTTTCTCTTCTCTTCTTTCTCAAGTATGCAGTAATTTTTAACTTTTATTAAAAAGCACTATTTTTTAATTTTTCAAGTTATAAGGTTTAAGATTATAAAATTGCTCTAGAATATATTTTTATATAACTTGGGTATACATTCTCTTCCTAGGGGAATAAACCCCAAATTAAGTTAATAAAAAAGTAGCCTTTGACAAGTTCCTTGCTAGTGCATCAAAGCATTTCACTTATAAAAGTTCTTAATATCCCAGAATCAAATCTTCAAAGTTAGAGTTAGATAATCCTGGTACAAGAATGATGATAAAAATAGACAATCAACAATAATAGTAACCATAAATAAACCTAGATGTTTGAACACACAGTTATGTAGAAGACATTAAAATTTTTTTCAGTCTTTTTTCCCCTTTCTTTTTAAGCAGGGGTATGGTTTTTCCCTAGGTGATCTTCACTCCTAAAAATTCAGAGTGAGGGAATAGAAACTATAGAATAGAGAATGTGACACATATTTAGGATAAGTGCATCCAATTTATAACTAGCACTTAAGCTAATGTAATTTGAGAGAAAATAGTATTCTGTCTTTTATGTTCAGGGGAAATTTGGATAGTCTAATATACTAAGGCTTTAGACAAACCTGATTGGGAATCCTATCCTCTACTTTCTCTTCTCCCCTCTCTATTTAAAAATATATATTTATATGTATATGTATATACATAGACACACACACACAAACACATATATATGCACACACACTTTGACTTTGGTGATATTTTCTAAACTCTTAGCCCCAGTTTTCTTATGTGTAAAATGATAAGGATAATAGTGACATTTCATAATTTTTGTAAGGATAAAGTAAGATGGCATAAACATAGAGCAGTATTAGGTGCCTGGTAAAAAATGAATTATAATCATGATTAGTTTTGAAGAGTTATAGTAATGTATATATAGGGAGTGCCAATGAATGTAATTTCTATAAACTTTTAAAAAACATTTATCAGACCTTGAAAATAAGATCTATTAAAAAGTCTGGCATGTGGTCAGGAGGTATAGTATGTTCTTACAATTGTAAACTAAATGATTAGCAGTAGTTGATTCACCGGTAAAAGAGTTTGAATAACAGAATTCAGTAGAATTAATTTTGGATTTGGGATAGTGCTAGTTTTAATGTTTATTTTCAGATAAAGGTTGATAAATTATAAAATTTTTAAGTTTTCAGTGGCATCACTTTTTGCTCTGATGGAATGATGATGAGCAGTGACTATAGAAAAATTGTCTTTAAGTGGACCTTCCCCTCAAAAAGTAGTAAAGCTCTAGAGCACAGTCAGAAATTATACTAATGAAAAATTGATTAAAATTATATTTACAGTTAAGATTCTTTGCTTAGGATGGAATATGGGACAGAGTATGGGTTTTGGAGTTAGTTGAATTAAGAAATAAACTGACAGTAGTAATTGTATGTTCTTTTATGAAGATGTTGACATTATATGATGCTACAGCAAAAACAGAGAAGTGTTAAAGACAAAGTAGAAAATGTTTTCCTGTTCTTCATAACTATAGTAATTATATTTGAAACCTGAAGATACTAACATAGACGAAGGAAATCCAGAGAGAATAGATCGATGGTAGAATTGATGATAGGATTCTCAAAGTAAGAACTAAAAAGTAAGTTATTTAGTCAATTTAGAGAATACATTTGATATTTAGAGCATATGGAAAGCATGAACATGAAATTGCTCAACAAATTCTTTAATTCTAGAACTATATATGTAACCCTTTGAAATTGAAAAGTTGTTTACTTTAAAAAATAACATGTTTGAAGGCAAAGAAAAGGCAGTACTAAAAAGTTGAATATTTTAACTGTATAACTGTAGGATAATTAGAATTATAAATTGGTCCAGAATAGTTGTGGTAGACTTATTGATTAATAAATTCATGCTTATTGTTAAGTAAAGTAAAGATCTTTTGAGTACATTTCTGTCTTTTGCAGTTAATCTCATTCTATACAAGCTGCAGAAGGCTGTGAACTCCTTGTAATTAAACAGTCTTTGATAGGTATGTTCTCAAATGTATTTTTATATGGAAGGGAACAGTAACTGGTTTATAATTTTTATCAAGTTCTCATAGGGATTTATGACTATCTCGTATCCCCTAACACCCCCTAAGCACAAAACTGTGGATATAAGACAAAGAGGTCATGTCATATGAATGGATGAGTATGTGGTTTGAGTTCCTAACTTGATCATTTCTTAGCTTCATTAATTTAAAGATGTTTCCCATTGGTAAAATGTGGTGAGAGTATTCCATTCAAAGATTTATTGTGAAAATAAAAGTGATAATATATTGAAAAAAAAACTTCTTAATAAAACCCTAAAACAGAGGTTAAGATTAACAGATTATACTTTGTTTGGCCCTCATAGCTATATGTTTTGTTTTGAATTAATTGCAAATGCCTAAAAATCAGGGTCTTTTATATAAAAATCAAGATTTCCAGTTTTTTCCCCATAGGATATTATTGTGTTCCTAATTTCCTCCTTGACCTAATTGATGTTTGGCAAAGGGATTAAAATATAAAAGAGGAAATATTATTTAAAATTATACCTCTTATGTCACTTTATTGTTAATTTGTGGTCTAAAATCCTGGAGACCATATTTATACATGTATACCACTAAATATGCTGATTTTGGAATGAGTACTGATTTTTATCGTGGTAAAATAAATATTTTTCCAAGTGTTTCATTAAAACAATAACATTTTAACTCAAAGATGCAAAAACTAAAAATCTTTCTATTTAATTATCCTTGTTAATTATGTCTTTTTATTTATACCATCTAGATAGGTTAATGATCATTTCTCTTCTGTTTTTAAATATTTTAAAAATGATTTTACTGCATAACTGAACATTAATCTGCTATTCATTTTAAATAAAGCCATTTTGGCAGTTTTTTTTTTTTTAAACTAGATTTCTACCTTCTTTAAAAAAAAAAACAGAAGGTGACCTGGCAGTCATCAAGCCCATATCTCCTCTTGGCAGCAGTTGGCTGGAGCACAGTGTAATTACCTTCTAAGATTGGGCTTATTCATTCTTTAGGTCATTGTGGTTCCCACAGGTCTGCTTTATCATTTAAGTTACCTGACCGGCTTCTCTATAGCATCATTTAGCTGTAGTTAAATGACAGTCATCTCTCTTTGTATTTTCCTTATGTCATTTCAGAAAAAGATTGAAAGTCAGAGGGCTATGGTTTTACTCTAGGATGCCATTACTAATATCTTACACATTTATTATCATAGAGAATTCTCTGTCACATATTAAGGTGGTGTGTGCACTCTGTAAGAACAGAAGTGTACTAGTGAAAAGAACAGAGGAATAAGGCAGAATCTACACTAAACAATAAAATCTTGAAATAGACATGAATATGGTCCATAGGAAATAATGAGAAAAGAACTATTTTACACATAATTTAGCACCTTATATTTACTTAAAATAAGTTTGGTTGTATTTTAGAGAGGCAAGAGCAATATGAACCCAAGTCAACTACAAGGATCTTTCATACAGCCATTGTGTTAAAAATACTGTGCAAAACCACATTTCTATTCTTTAAAAAAAATTACAATCCAATAGACATGTCCACAAAGAAGTAAATAATACCAGGTAGTTTGTGTTAGATTTTGGTGAATGGCATTGTAAATGCATCAGGAGAGGAAAGGAATATGGGATTCTGAATTAGTAGGGAAATGACTTTAAGGAAGAAGGAACTTTGAAATAGGATTCAAATTTTAATAGCACAAAAGTGCAGAGAAAAGCAGGCTGTAGTAGTTTAGCCTTTAGTCAACTGAAAATTAGTTTATGTTTAGCAAGAATGGAAGGGCATGACTCTGAAAGAATTATGACAGAAAATATAGGACTAGATGTGAATGATGAAGGAGGTAGAGGAATATATAGATTGATGAGAAGACCTTGAAGGAGTTAAATTTATAAAATTGAAGACCAAAAAAAGCCCATTACTATAGGTGCTCACATAGGGCATGATGATATTTATAAATAAGGAAAGATACATATAAATAGTGAGAGATTTGAGTGGCATCTCCATTGTACATATCTTTATAAAAGAACTTTGATTCTTACTTTAGATTCACAAAATATATATATGCTAGCTCAAAATTGAAGTTTTCTTATCTACCTGTTGATATATCTTAGCTAACCTCTCATCTTTTTATTTTAACTGGTTTTGTGCTTCCATATTCTACCTTTAGTAAATATTAGTTGCATCATCATGGGCAGGGACTTCATTTCTTCCACCTCCCATTTCCTTTTTCTGTTATATAGGGATATTCACTACTTTACAGAATTGTTGGGAAGCTGAAAGATCAAAGTGATTAGGAAAAACTTTTTAAATTGCTTCATACATAATAGCTATTATCATTGTTTTGTTTTGTATTGGTGTTCATTTTCTTAGGTTTTTATGATATCTGCTTTCTACTTTCTCATCTCTTTGATACTCAAGTTCCATTCTAATTTTTCTTCAAATCACTGTCTTCGCATTAGTTGACATTAACACTTATTTCTCTCTGTCCAAACCCTCATTCAAGCATCTAAAACTTAGCACCTTCATTCTGCTTTCATCTTTTTCACTGAGCTTGCCACTACTAACAAACTCTTTAGTTTATTTTCAGTTTAATCTTTATCCTTTGATTTCTCAGTTGTGCCTTCTAGGGATATTATAAACCAACCTCACAGTTTTCATATTGCTTATGTTGTTTTTATATCTGTTTCTTAAAATATAGGGATAAACATTGAGATTTTAAAAAATAATTTTGCATGTATTCAGTTTTGAATTAAAGCAGTATGAAGAATATCTGTTATAAAGATGGTGTGAATTTTTATATTCATTTACATTTATGTTTGTTTAAGGGCTAGAGGGATGGATTTCTTTTTTTTTCAGAGTAATCACTTCCTATTTAAAAAGTTAAATATGAAGTATGAAGCATAATGTCTGGCTCATAGTAAGTGTTCTAAAAATGTTAGCCACTGTAGTTGTCATTGTAAATCAAGGCCAGTCTTTTGTTTATTAGCAGTGTTGATTTTATGAACATTAAAATTTCTCCTTTCCCAAGATCTACCCACCATAGTAATGGATATCCATTAATTTGAATTTAGACTTTCACCTATCAAACTTTGTTATGTAACATTGTTAACATAAAGATAAATCTGTTTAAAAGATAAATTTGTTTAACATAAAGATAAATCTAGGGACTGCTCATGTTCTGTTGGTGCTGTATCACTGAGCTGCATTGACATGTTCTATTTTTTTTTAATCTGGTTGGTAGTTTTACACTTGTTATTTTGTAAAAGTTCACCAAGTTTATTGTTTATTTTCTATTTTGTATGTATGCTATATTTTAATAAAGTGTTAAATAAACACATTATAACCTGAGAAATTATATATCAAAATTATTATAGTTATTGATATATATTGGTATAATTTTTTTATAGCTTTCATATCTTAGAGGTTTTAAACTTGTTTAGCTTGTGATAGCTCAGTATCCTAAATTCCTTCTAGGTGATAGATTTTAATGGCATCATTTGAACCATGATTTAATTCACATTTAAAATTTATTTTAGAATCTTCTGAAGTGGAAGATTTGGTTAAATTTCAACATCCTTTAATGATATCCTTATCCATGAAAAACTTAAAGCACTAAACTAAACTAAACTAAAAAGATTGCTTTTTCTTTTTGAAGTTTCCCATGAGTACTTTGCTGTGTGTTCATTCATTTTATTCTGCTGTACAAGACTGAAAATTAAAAAAATATTCTACTTATATCATCTTTTAAGCAACACTGAAATTATTTAGCTTTTTAAAATAAGATTATTTTTAGTTGTAGATGGACACAATACCTTTATTTGTTTGTTTGTTTGTTTGTTTGTTTTTATGTGATACTGAGGCGATAACCCAGTGCCTCATATGTGCTAGGCAAGCGCTGTACCACTGAGCCACAACTCCAATCCTGAAATTATTTAGCTTTCAGCAGAAAATCTTAGACTAGTTTATTTTAGTCTAAAAATGTTTCTATCATTGTTTAATAAATACTATTTTTAGAGTATAGCTGTTTCTTTTTTTTCCTCAGAATTAAGTATACAGAAATAAACTCAGGTGTATTTGCTTATTTGTAATAGTAATACCTTTCTAAGCCATTTTAATTACTGTTTTTTGAAAACTGATTACCGCATTAGAACATGCTCATATTTTTGAGATCAAGGTATTTTTGCTCTATCTTAAAAAATCAATATTTGTATTTAATTTTAGATGATTTCAAACCTGCTTCTATTGACACTTCTTGTGAAGGAGACCTTGAAGTTGGCAAAGGTGAACAGGTGACAATAACTCTGCCAAATATAGAAGTAAGTATATTTTTAGATTAAGACTAAAAGGATCTTTTTTGCAGGATTTTCAGTGAATTTAAATGAAAATAATTGCACATTTATGTAATGATGGTTAGTTAAAGTAGTTAATAAGCACATCAAGGCAACAAAAGATATTTTAAACTATTTTGGGTGAAATAATCTTAAAATATCTTTATCTATTTAATACTTGTAAGAATTATCATAGCAAATGATTTGAAAAAATTGGTGGTCTAAGCAAATATTCATTTAATTTCTATTATGAGTTATGTTTTGTATTCTTAACTAGGGATAACAACTTGTTTCTTGCCTTCTAGTTCTAATTTGATATAACAGACAGACACAAAAACATCTAGTGTTGGTTGGAGGTGGGGGTGCATGCCTGTAATTCCAGCAGCTTGGTAGGCTGAGGCAAGAGGATTGCGAATTCAAAGCCCGTCTCAGCAACTTAGCAAGGTCCTAAGCAACTCAGTGAGACCTTGTCTCCAAATAAATACAAAAAAGGGCTGGGGATGTTGCTCAGTAGTTAAGCACCCCTGAATTGGTACCAAAAAAAAATTAGTGTTATAAGTTAAGGGCATATAGAAAATTCTGTGCAAGCATATACATTGAATCAAAGACTCTCTGATAGACTTTTGAAAGACTTCACAAAGAAAACATTAATTGACCTGAGCTTTAAAGGGGGATTTTAACAGGCACAAAGGGGGTATAATATTTACTCAAACAGAACAACATGTGAAAGGCTCTAATGCTTTGAAAGAACAAGGAATTTGTGGACTTTATGTAGTAAATCATTGTATAATGAAAAGTGCAAGAATAGAAATGTGAAAGATAGGTTGGGATCAGATTGTGAGTATCTTTTATGTTGTGATGTAGAATTTAGACTTTATCCCATAGCCATTCGGGAACCATTAGGGGTTTTTAAGCAGAGAAAGTAATATGATTAGATTTGTAGTTTTGGAGAGCTTTTAGCAGTATAGGGAATATCTCTCACCTGAATTGCTTAGAACCAGAATTGTTCTGATTTCTGATTTTTTTTATTTTATAAAATTTGCGTGTACATAATGAAATATCCTAAGAATGGGACCCAAGACTAAATGTGAAATTCATTAATCTTCTATATGCATCTATATACAAGTTGAAGGTAATTTTAGACAATATTTGTAATATTTTTTGCATACGAAACAAAGTTTCATAGTTAGAATTTTCCACTTGTGGTGTCATGTTGGCACTCAAAGTTTTTTTTTTTTTTTTTTTTTGGAACATTTTGGATTTTAAATTTTCAGGTTAGGGATACTTAACCTTAGTTTGGGGAAAAGGTTGAAAAAGAAAGTGACCAGGTCACAGAGACCTTAAACAAAAATTTTGCCTGCTTTAAAATTTCTAGATATATCCATAACTATCAAATACTATTTGCATTAAAATACAAATCCTTTGTGGTATGGTCTGTTTTTCATAGTCCTTGAGTTAGAAATTTCATTTTTTCCCTTATTTTTCTTTTCAGCATTAACACACAACTTCATTGATGATACAGAAATGAAAACAATGCAAACAACAAAAGAGAGCTTACTTATAACAAATTGATTCACTGTCATTTATGCAGAGAAAATGGTAGAAATAGTTCAAGCTAGGCAGGAAGATAAAAAGCAACAAACATGTGTTCAGTGATGTTCATTTATCCAGCTTAAACCCAAAGACCAACTTGTTTAAATATTCAGCACTGATAATACAATATGGTGTCCATTATTCAAAATCAGTGACTGAAAGAATTTCTTTACCATATAAGCGAGGTGGAGAAAAGGAATCATTTATAATATATGTTGTTTCTAAAGTACAACACCAAGAAGTTACTTCTAGCTCTTTGGGAACATATACATACCCAGTTTGATTGTGAATTGTCTGACTTTTACTTTCACCAAGCAATCATGGTGCCTTTTTATTCCCAATACCTTATCAGTCCACACTTGAAATTCTTTTAAGAATAAAATAAAAGTGAACCTTCACTGAATTGATTCTGGTAGATTCATTTTCTTCTTATTTAAAATTATCATTTACATTCTCAAAAATGACCGAACTTTTGGAATAACATTTTTGTTCTGTTTCTCATTAAAGAGGGAACCCAGTGAAGATTGGCCCCTGAGTAGTTTTATAGTCATTGCTGGATTTTCAGCCAAATTTAAAAAGACTTCCAAAAGCTGAAGTTTAGTTTCTTCATTTCTGACTGAAAATAAATGAAAAAAGTTTGAAATGGAATTATCAAGCATATACRGTTACTTATTATTAACAATCTTATTTATAAGCAATCTTAGTCCAGCCAGCTGTACAGATGATTTCAAGTGAGAAGTGATGTGTCATAACACACTTGATTCCTGTGTATCTTAAGCGTGCACTAATTTTTGGCATTCACACTTGTTATTTAGAATGTTAAATTCTTTAACAACAGATCCTGAATATTGAGAATCTTTGCAATAGTTGGGAGAATCTTGGATCACAAATAATATCTGTTAAATACATAAGCAGCATTATTATCTAGAGCAAGTAATGCTTCTATAAGAATATGAGCCTTTTCAGACATTTCAACCAAAGCAACTTTCTGTAGTTCTTGAGGGGACAAAATAATGTCATCTGAACTAGGGGAAGCCTGTTTCTAGACATCCTGACTTGTCTAGGTTTGGCCTGACTCTACCTCTGGTCCTGACCTCAGTTCCAATCTGAGCACTATACTATATTATTGCTTTCATTACTGCCATCATCATCAGAACTAGCTGAAGAACAATCCTCAGCATCATCCACACCCACAAAGCTACCCTTAGCCTTTTTATCCTTATTCTATTTTCTTCCCATGGTCAGTTTTTAAATACATAGCAGGGATTTAAATACATAGCAGAATAGTCATGAGGGCTGTGGGTCCAGGTGCAGCCCTGTGAAATCTGATCTTCCTCAGCTGCTTCAAAGCCACAATAGTTGATTCTGGAAGTAGACTTCCTTGTGGCAGTTATTTTGCCCTTCATCGCTGACCTGGATTGGTGCCACACCCAACAATCTTTCTGATCTCAAATTCACTCCTAAACTGGAAAGTCTTGGACCTACTGCAGGGATCCAGAATAATTTCCCAATTTCCTTCTTCTTCCTTCTACCTCACGCCCATCTGCCTTCAGGGAAATTTCCTAGTATTCAGGGGGTTTTTGTTCTTCTATACTAACTTTATCAATCCTCAGAGAAAACAAAGACTGTAACTTTTTACTATAAAATATAAAGAAAATCCTGGAGTTTTGAGGTTGTTTTTGTTTGTTTTAATTTTTCAGTAGGAGTGGTTTTTGTGCTGGTCCATCCACATTTTCTTTTGTGTATCAGTGAGATGGTTTGTCATGGTTAGAGGTGTAGTAAGCTGTCTGTCCTCTAGTCTGCTGTCTTTTTCTTACTTTTATCAGCCAACACCACTTATTGAGAACCCACTGATGCCAGACTGTATTAGTTGCTGCTGCTGAAGGTTTTCCTAAGGCTAATTAAATGGGGAGTGGGTTTCTTATTGAATATTTCTCATTTGCTCCTATAGGATCTGAAAGAAATGAAAAGTCAATTCAGTTTGAAATGTTGTAGATAAATTAACCTTTGTATTATTATCTTATAAAAATGCTCACATTCTGGAATTTCTAAAATAGTTTGGAAATTTATTCTGCAATCTAAGGCTTATTTGCTTCATGATCTTTATTGAAGAATAGTCTAAAATAGTCACTTAATTTTAAAATTTACTGAAAAGCCTTATGTTGACATTAAGAACCATTAGCCTGTTGTTTGAAACTGCATTTTTATTGGTCAACTATGGTTGGTTTGCAGAAAAAAATTCAATTTGATTCTTCTTTGCATGTAGAATATTGTTTTCTTAAATTGTAGTCCTCTCATCCTCATTCCTTACATTATTTTTTCTCTCCTAGCAAATGGGGATTCTTACTAACTTATATTAGTCTTATGTGTATGTTTCTTTTTAATTTACACTTATTCTGCTTTATCTAGAGTTTCATCTACTATGTGTTTGGTTAGGGTCTCAATTGAAATATCTCTTTTAAACAAATGACAGTTATATAGGGGGCATATATTTTCAAGATGAAACACTGTAAATTTCTGTCCCAGTGGCTCTAGAGACTGAGGCAGGAAGATCCAGAGTTCAAAGCCAGCCTCAGCAGCAGTAAGGTGCTAAGCAACTCAGTGAGACCCTTTCTCTAATATATATAGAATATTATAGGAGCACAAAAGAAAGGTAACCCTACCAGAGGAGGAGGAGGAGACATCAGGATTGTTAAGAGCCACAGCCGAAGGGGCCCCAGCAAACTTTCAGACTGCCAGCTGATGATTGGCTCACAGTGGCCCCAGCAACATCTAGCTGATTGGCTCCTCTGTGGTGATGCTCATTGAGCTGTTTCCCTGCCCTTTCAGACCACGGAGCTGCTCATTGGGGGACTTTTTTGGCTCCGCCCACGCGACCCAGCCAATCGGCCTCAAGAGCAGGAGGATTGTGGGAGGTGGAGAGGCTTGTGGTGGTGAGAGAGGCTTGTGGGAAGCCGGTGGTGGCAGTTTGGCTCTGAGGGTTTTTCCTGAGGAGCTGTTTTGTTTGGCATGTGTGGTTCTAAAAATAAAGTTAGTTTCTTTTGACAAGTGGCTCCTGATTGTGCCAAAGCAACTCAGTGAGACCCTTTCTCTAATATACATAGAATATTATAGGAGCACAAAAGAAAGGTAACCCTACCAGAGGAGGAGGAGGAGACATCAGGATACACTGAATCTTGAAGGTGAATTGAAGTTACCCAGTTGAAGGAAAGAGGGAAAGACATTTTAGAGAAAAGAAAAAGACATGGACCAAGAGACAGCAACAAAAGAAAATATTTGAAGAACTACTTATACATCCCACTATGGCCAGGTCAAAAGGGATGAAGATAGAAAGGTATTTAGGAATCAGATTAATAAAGGACCTAATATGCATTATAATTTAATTTGAACTTTTT